AGTGTCTGTCCTTCGGGTTCAGAACTCACTGAGGCAAAGTCTAGATACTATGGTGGTTTGTGGTACCCTGGGCTTTTCAACCCTCTCCCCAAGGTTTTCATCGAGTCTCCCATGGCACGGTTCTACCATCTTCTCTGCTCTGTGGATGAGGAGAGTTCCAGAAGCAGACAGAAGGCTAGAACAAGAATCCTCCACCACCTGCTGGGCTTCCCTGGCAAAGCAGCAAACAGGAAGCTTAGTCCTGGCTAGGCTGGGCTTCCTGGGGAAGGGGGGGGCTGTCCTGGAATGACTCCGCAGTGCCCTGCCCTGAAGGTGGTTAGGCTGTGCCTCAGAAAGAGGTCCTGTACTGAGCGCTGCACACCTCTTTGGAGAAATGGAGTAGGGTCACACCGCCTGTCACCTCTGTCACACTATCAGGACCAGTGTGACTTACACTGTAAGGCCCAGCTCTCAGTCTCCTTCACATGAGTAGAGTGCAGTTCCCAGCGAGGTGTCTTGTCCTGGGGTTTAGGCTGCCTCTGGATGCTCTTTCACATCCCCCTCCCAGTTGCTCACCACACCCTGGCCTCCTACAGCTCTGCCTCAACCTCACTGGGGGCCTTTGTCACAGCTCTGAGACCCTGTCTGTGGGCCTCACTCCTGCATAGGGAGAGAAAGGGTTCCATTGTCCTGGTGTCCACAATGACTTAGCAGTTCCCGAAGACTCTAAAAATGCCCAGCTTGTCAGAGAGCTTTTTCAGGCACTGCAGTCAGATCCTGGTCTACAGTGTCTGCCCCTCTCAGGGTATGATGCAAGCAGCTCTCCCTTCCCCAGATGAGGGCCTTTCTTGAGGTCTGGCTTCTATTTGGCTTGCTGCAAAATAGCCAGCTTCCTCCTGGGCAGAGTAACTATAAGTTCAGGGACAGAGCCCAAGGAAACACTGGGAAAGAGAAGCAGGTAGGATGTGAGGACACTGTCCCACTAAGCCAACGGCTCAGGTGAAAGGCTAAATGGGTGGACCCTGAGCCTGTGGGCACCCAGGTGGCTTTGTCTTGGTGTTTAGATTAATTGTTAACAGAAAGAAGACTGTTGACCACTTAAGACTGGAATTAAACACTACTCATGTTTGATGCTCAGTGTGAGGCACCCAAAGCTCCCTGGCCCATGTTCTGCTGACCCCAAGTGGCCTCTGATGACATCATGGACAAGATGCATCACTCTGTACCTCAGTTTCCCAGGTGCGGTGAGTCCAAGTTCTCTGGCTGGGAGAAGGGAGAAGCGTAAGAGACAGGAGGCGGTGAGTGGTAACTGAGGCCTCCACTAATGGAGAACCCAGGAGGAGGCACCCTTTCTGGGGCCCAGGGCCAACAGATAGTGAGCAACTGAGCCCACAGCTGCAGGGTGGGGGTTCCTCAACAGAGGCCTCCTGGCACCTGCCTCAGTTATTTATGGAACCACAGCTGAGTCCTAAGGGGAGGGAGGGAGGATGGAACTGGGGAAGGGAGTGCCTTATGACTGAAGGAGGAAACTCTAAAGAAGAGGATGCCAGGGCCTGGCATTCGGACACCTGGGACCCATCATTTTGAAGCAGGGCATGCAGAATGGCTGTTAAGTTCCCAGATGAACATTGACATTGGAGCACCTGGGCAACAGGCCTAGAGAGGTTGAGACAAGAGGCGGGCCTGCAACCCCGATTGTTGAGTTAGAAGTGGTATGCAAGGGTTCAGCGTAAAGGAAGCAGGGACCCTAGAAGAGGAAAGACCTTTGCTTTTGCCTGCCAAGGCAGACTGATGGAGTCCTCACTGTGCGGCCTCTCTGCTCCTGAGACAGGCCGTGTCCATGGTTCTACTGCGGCTCCGTGCTCTCCTGCGATGCTCAGGGACAGCTGCTGGCAACCTTCCTCTACTGCTATTCCAGGGAGAAACTGCCCTTCCTCCTTCTCCCAGGAAGACTCTGTTGTACGTGCCCTTCCTCCCCTAAGAGGTGCGCTGGGCGCAATAGGAACTAGGGAGTCTGTCCCTAAGTCAGAGTCTAATTGGGTTTTCTGGGCTGGTGGGCACCCCTCCCTGGAGAAGTAGAGACAGCACATTCCAGACAAAATGAAATCACATTCCTTCACACACACCCCCACCAGAGAGGCTGGCATGACTGACAGCTACTGCAACAGCACAGGCCAAGTGACAGCAGCTGGTGTCCCAGGGCGAGGCTGGGTGTGGACTGTGGGCGGCAGAGGAATGGAGGGGGATTTTCTTCAGACAATGAATTGATTGCTGATTCTTCGACCCAGGGCTGAGCACTGGAGGTCGAGGGTGATCCCACTCATGTCAGAACTGTTTGGAGGAAGGATTCGGTTTACCCAGTACCTTGCAGAGGGAAAGCCTGGGCTCTGGGGGTCCAGAGGCTCGAGGTCACCTTCTGAGAGCCCCACGCAGATTGGGTGCTCCCAGGAGGAAGGCACTCAGACTGCCTTTGGCTGTCACAGGAAGCCTAGACGTTGATTTCCTTTGAGACTCTGGCAGCTACAGGGACAGCATCGGGCTGGACTGGAGGGAACCTCTGCCCCTGACCTCACCCTCGGAGGCGCCTCAGCCTGCACTGCCTTATAAGGAAGTGCCCCAAACAAACTGAGGAAGCCACCTCCGCCCGACACCCCCCACCCCCAAGCCTGTCTCCGGCTAGCTCAGAGGCTATATTTACCAGAGGAGGCCCCAGAATAGCCTCCCACTGTCTCATGCTGTGTGTATGTTGGGGAATGTTTCTTCTCTTGCCCCCTCCCCATTCCCTTCTGCGGGGACTCCACCCTCAGAAGTGTGTCCTGCTATCACTCACTCACCCTGTACTCAGAGACTTCCGGCACCAACCAGTTCCCTGAAGCACTGTAATCCCTTGCCCTGTTTGTGTCAGCCTTCTGCAGGGCCCCCTCCTCCTCTGGGAGTTTCAGGGTCTCTTTGGGCCTCTCCTCACTCTATACATGCTCTGTTGAGATTCCAACTCTTGTCCCTACTTGTGAGTTCCAAGCATACCCTCTGCCCTGTCCCAAGGCAAAATGACAACACCCGTTCACTGTTTGCACGCAGCCCTGGGCCATGTGTCCTGTGCTCCTCATCTCCCGCACAGTTCCTGAGACTTCACTTAGCGCCTGCAAACCTTTCTGTCCCCTGCGGCGCCTTGGCCTGCACCTGCACCACTGGTAGTCTCCCGCCTGTTCCTGCTCAGCCTGTTCTCAGCAAACGGAAGTCCTGGCGGTGGCACCTGTGCACAGGCCTTTCAGAAGATCCATGTCTCAGGAAGAGCCCATGCTTCCTGGCTTCTTGGTGAGGACTTTGCCCACTGCCAGGACTTCCTGTAATCTCCCCAGGGCCTTCTCCCCCCTCCTTTCCATCACTGCCTGTTTTTGTCTTCCACTGTTCCAGACCTCTTCTGTCCTAGACACCTCTGTCTTCCCCACCCTCACCCCCAGTATTCTCCCCAGCACGGGCCACTCAGGGCGGCCTGCCCTGCCCTATGCCCCTACCCCGCATGTGTCTGGCTTTAGACACAATTTCCACCTGGCAACCTTTGCTCAGGAGCTGCTAAAGCTTCCTGTACAAGGAGCTTGTGTTGTAAATTGTCAGTGTTCTCAGAGCCCGCACTGAGTAGATGGTCGGTAAAAATGACAACCACACTGATAATCACAACCAGGGGTGTCCCTGTCATTGTCTAGCTCTTGCCTCTCTTGCTGTTTGGACATAGAATCATTTCCATACAGACCGTTCCTCCTACTGTATGTATACCCCTTAGGGAAGTCACTTCATCCTGACCCCTGTGTGGGGTTCCTAGCATCAGTACCCGGCTGGGATAACTGTAGAGGACAATAAGCTTGTGAGGGTACAGGATGGGGACCTGGTACAGGGCAGGGCTAGTTGACTTAGTTCTGTCCTTGGTGTTCATCCAAGCAGTGGTACCCAAAGGCCTGGAAAGAGGAAGCACAGGATGTCTTGTCCAATTAGAGGAGCAGGTTTTGCCTGCCTGATGCCAACATGCTGGTCTCTGCCCATCAGCTGGCAAACCAGACAGGAGAACCTTGTTATTAGTGTACAAAAAGGAGAGAGCGGATGCTTGGTCTGCCAGGAGGGTGGGGTAGGAGAATCGGGATCCTGGACCCCAGGGCAAGGGTGTGGATGAAATGGGCCGGAACCAGAGCAGTTTGGAGGAAGATGAGCCCACAGAGGAGCCGACAGTGCCAGTTGGCTAGCACAGCCTCTGTCTACCCTCCCAAGGAGAGAAGGAGCCTGCTCTGGGCTTGTGATGGCTTCAGTGTAGGCAGCCAGTACCATCTCCATCATGGCATCTAAATGAACATCTGGGCACTGGTCTTCCTGCCTGCAGAGCGTGACTGACAGATACTTTCTATCCGGGTATCCCACCTTTGAGGCCTGTGGGTACATCCTGCCCTGCACAGATGTTGAGAAAGAAGCGTACTAGCAGAACCTGGTTCTGTGCCACACTTAGCATTGCAGACTGCACCACACCCTCCACGCTCTCACCTGGACAGCTCCCTCACATTCCCCGGGGCCTGCCAGCCTTTCTCTTGGTCTCCTGCTGCAGCACATGAGGAAAATGCCAGGAGAGCTCCACTGAGGACTGCAGAGGCTTCCCCTGGCCTCTCTCCTGTTCTCCCAGCCTCAGGAGACCACCCAGGGCATAGGGCAATTCAGCTTCCCCTCATGTGTGGCTGCACATCTGTTGACCCGAGGCTGCACAGCCAGACTAGAGCAGGCCAGGCCTCTCTCCTCCCTCCCCAACACCAACCCAGTCAGTCATCACAGGCTAGACAACTGTTTAGGTTGTTGGAAACCAGGGGGCTAATTATAGTGGAGACACTGAAGGGCTAGTTAGGAGGACATCCAGTAGGGAGGGCCTTGTAATCAGTGCTGTTGGTGGTGAGGACAACCCGGCTCCCCCAGAGGCAGCCCCTCTATTCCACTGCTTCTCAACCAGAAGGACCCCCTGAAACCTAGATGGAAGCCACCAGACTGTATAGGGAGAGATGCAACTTTATTTAAACAAAAAAGAGCAGAACAAGGTCTCAGCAGACTGAGATGAGGTGAAGGGTCAGTCCTAATTGCTGCCCTCAGCTCCTCTGGGCATAGGCCAGACCTGACCTTGTGGGGATGGCACTACTGTAGACAGGCAGGGCTAACAAGACCTGGCCAGAGCAGCACATGCGAAAGCTCTGAGCCCAAGCTTCTCCAGCAGGTGAGATGCAGAAGAAAGGGGGCCTAGAACTACAGGGGCTCAGCTGGCTTGAGCCTTCCTCATCTCCCTCAGTCAGCCACCTCTTTAGGACACCACAGGTCAAGCTATCAAAGCTAAGGGTGCTGGCCCAGATCAGGAAGGACATCCTCTCCACCATTAAGTCCTCAGAGCCAGAGAAGCATTCTCTAGTCTTCCCCTGAGGACCAGGAATCTCCATCTACTCCACTCAGAGGGAATTCCAGGGACTGACTTGGGCCTAGGTGCACAGGAGACACTACCAAAGGGGCCTTTAGGGCACCCACTTCCTGTTCCTGTAAAAGGCGTTCCTGGTCCTGGTCCCCATCCAGAACTCCCTGCCCCTCAGACTGCTCTAATCCATTCTCCACCCTCCCATTCACGTGCTCTAACTCCGAGTTGGGGCTCTGGGTGTCTCCAACCCCTGGGACCATGCTAGTCACCTCTTGGGGGGCATCCAAATGGTCCTCTCCCTCCAAGGAGACAGACTCAGACCCCTCTGACTCAGCGTCCAGGGCAGTCACAGAGCTATCAGCTGCAGCACCTCTCAAGCCATCATCCCAAGGACCACTGACACCCGCAGACCCCTGTTCCAGGTCCCCTCTTTGGGTGATATCCTGGACCTTGAAACCCCCACCAGAGGGCCCTGGCCCCCACCACTGAGCCCCTGACTCAGCCCCTTCCTCATGCTCTTCTTCTCCCTCCTCCCCACTCTCTTCTTCATCAGCAAAGCCGTCAGACTCCCCACCCTGACCCCAGCATTCAGGCTCCAGTACTGGGAGAACCTGGCCCAGATGATCTGCCACCCCCTTGGGAACCCCTGGCAGAAAAGAGGCCTCAGTCCCCAGGTCCTCAAATTCCTCAGATGACAGGTCAGAGTCGGGACCTTGTTCCTCCTCCCCTGGTGGGCTACTGAGGACAGGAGGACCCCAGCCTTCCTTCCTGGCCTCTCCTTGAGGGGAGAGCCCCTTCTCTCCAGCTAGGTCCCACTTTGGGGAGGTAGGGGACCTCAGGTAGAGGCCCAGGGGAGTAGAGTCCGGGAGAGTTTCCCCTAACTCATCTGCCTCACTTTCTTCTCTGCTCTCCTCCCAATCTTGGAGGCCCTCGGGGGTCTCCCTCAGAGCAAACTCTTGCTCATCTTCTACTTTCCCCAGAGCTTCAGACCCACCTTCTAGCTGCCACCCAGCTTCCTGAATCCCCTCAGCCTGGGGCTGCAGGTCACAGGCATCTTCCAGGGTTGGGATGTACGAACAGGGTTCCATGAGCTTGGGACCAGGGAGTGCCAGGACCGCCTGTGCGTCCTCATCTTGCTCTGTCTCTGAGAGCCTGGGCTGAGGGACAGCACTGCTCTCATGGTCTGAGATCTCCACTGAGGTATCCTCTACTCCCCAGCCCACTGCAGGCTCTGACTCCTTGAAGCTCTTGGGTTCTAGAGCATCCCTGCTAGTCTTGGGCAGTTCAAAGATCTCTGACTCCAGAGCACCTGCCTCTGCTGGTTCTTTTTCAGGCCCTTCCAAGTCCTGAGCTAACTTTACTTCTACACTTTGCTCCCCCAGGGATGGGTGAATGGCCTCCTCCTTGGCCAGATACTTTGGCTCCCCTAACCCTATCACTTCCTGCTCCAGTCCAGCTCTGGTAGCAGCCTCTGAGCCCAGGGCAAGCTCTTTGGAGTCTTGTTCACCTGTTTGGGCTATAGCCTCATCTTGCAACAGGGGCTCTGTCACTTCTGGCATTCCCTGGGCAACTGAGACCTCTAAGGTCCCCACCTGCTCTGGTGGTCCCTCCATGTCCTGGAAGGCCTCAGTGCTCCCCTTCCTGCAGTCTTCCTCACTAGGGACCCTCTGCTGCTTGGGCTCAGAGCTCCCCAGGCTACAGGCCTCCCCCATGACTTGTAGCTGCAGCTCCCTGTCCTCAGCAGCTTCTTCCTCCCTACTTTGCCCACTCAGGGGCAGCTCTGCCTCATCCTCACTTTCCACTCCTGTCCTCCCTAGGACTGGGTCCTGATTTACTGCTCCATCTTCCACCATGTCCTCCCACCTTTGCTGATTTCCAGAGCCAGGCAGCTCCTGCCCTACCTCTACCAGAGACCTCGCTGATTCTTGGTGCTCATTCATATCTACGCAGCCTTCTACTTCCAGCTGCTGCCCAGCCACCCCCATCCCTTCTGGAGATTCCACAGTCTCTGGGTTCCACTTGTCAAGAGATCTCAATTCTTGATTCTCCCTTTCAAGGGGTCTCAGGGTCTCTTGGCTCCCATACACATACCCCAGTGATTCCTGAATTTCATTTTCTAGAGGTTTCACTGTCTCTCTAGTCACTTCTAGAGACAATGGCTCTTGAGCTTGCACAGAGTTCTCTATTTCCAGGCCTGCCTCAGCACTCTTCAGTGGTTCGACGTTCTCTGTTTCTGAAGACTTCACTGTCTCCGCTCCTTCTTCCAGTGACACTGGGCTCTGTCTTCCAAAAGGCTCCTCTAACTCCGGTTGTCTCACTGCCAGCTGCTCATCCCCTACAGCCCTCACTATCTGTCCAGTCTCTTGCTGAAGAGCTCTCTGTATCTCTTGGTCCTGCTCTTCGGGAGACCACAGGGACTCTGGAGTCTCTTTTCCCAGAGATCTAAAGATCTGCTGGTTCTCCTCTTCAAAAGAGGAGTTCTGACTCTCTGTGTCTAGCAGGTTCTCAGTCACCCAGTCCTTTTTTTCTACAGAACTCAGCGATTTATGGTTCTCCCTTTCTAGAGATTGCTTGACCATCTGCTCTTCTTCTAAAGACCCCAGGAACTCCTGATCTTTTTCTAGATAGTTCGCAATCCTCTGGTCCTCTTCTTCTAGAGACCTCTGTGGATCCTGGGTCTCCTGGTCTCGATCTTTAGGAGATGCCAGAGACTCCTGAGTCTCGTTCTGTAACAGGCTCTCAGGCATCTG